GTTAAGAACTGGTTAAAAGACTGGGTGCAGTGGCTCATGCCTGTAATCCCAGCACTTTGGGAGGCTGAGGCAGGTGGATCATCAGAGGTCAGGATTTCGAGACCATCCTGACCAACATGGCAAAACCCCTTCTCTACTAAAAACAAAAAGTAGCGGGGCATGGTGGCAGGAGCCTGTAATTCCAGCTACTCAGGAGGATGAGGCATGAGAATCACTTGAACCCAGGAGGCAGAGATTGCAGTGAGCCGAGATTGTGCCACTGCCCTCCAGCCTGAGTGACAGCGTGAAACTCTCAAAAAAAAAAAAGAACTGGTTAAAGTGGGAAGTCATTGAAAAAAAATAAATACACACACACACACACACACACACACACACACACACACACACCCTAAATAATTTATTTTAAATTAAATATACCAAGGGTACTAATCTTTTGATGTTGGGCCAAGGCCTTTTATTTGAATGTATGGCCACTAATCAGAGTTGTGTGTTATATTTCTTTCATTAAGCAGCTGTTACCTATGATTTTCTCACCTTCTGCTTTTTGTTTTTTAAATAGAACTATAAGTTAAAGATACTTGGGAAGCAATCTGCATCTTTCCCTCTCAATCCTTTATAGTTGTCTTATCAAAATCCAATGCAACAGCAGTTTGGTTTTAGTGACTCACCTTTATTAAGTTCTTTGAATTCATTCCATTTAGTTTTTCATAGAAATAGACATAGAAATTCTCAAGTTTGTATTTTATCTGTTGGTGTCACATTTAATTATACTACTTAATAATAAATATGATTGCCATCGTGAGAGCTGTGAAGCAACCTAGGAGCTGAAATGAGCAGACATTTTAAAAAGCAGTTAATCAGGCCAGGCACGGTGGCTCATGCCTGTAATCCCAGCACTTTGGGAGGCCAAGGTGCGTGGATCACGAGGTCAAGAGATCAAGACCATCCTGGCCAACATGGTGAAACCCCGTCTCTACTAAAAACTCAAAAAAATTAGCTGGTCGTGGTGATGCACACCTGTAATCCCAGCTACTTGAGAGGCTGAGGCAGGAGAATTGCTTGAACCCAGGATATAGAGGTTGCAGTGAGCCAAGATCACGCCACTGCACTCCAGCCTGGTGAAAGAGCGAGACTCCGTCTCCCAAAAAACAGAAGCAGTTCACCAACTGTCAACACCCACTGGGTAATTACCATCATTCAGATGGTGTGTCCACTGGTCATGAACATTTACTGTGTAGCCAACATCAATCACTTGTCTTGTACCAGGACAATGAAGAGTCAGTGGATCCCAGGTGATTAGGTGGAGATTAATCAACAGAGCTTTTAACATAGCTGTATGCACTATTGTTTTGAACCTAACTATAGATTTGTCCTTATCTGTGGCTGCTTTATATTTAACCCACATATTGCCTTCTGTCCCTTCTTTAGATCAGTTATATAGCAAATGTTCTTATTGCTCTGGCACTTTCTTTTCCTTCACGTTACTTATTCCTACCTGACTTGACTTAGTTACTTGCTATCTGTCAGTCTCGCCGACTACCATATAAGCTCCATAAGGGCTAGGTCTTATGATGTCCACCTTTGTATCCCCAAAGCCCAAAACAATGACTGTGTAGACTGAGTGAAACGTGGCTGCTTCCTTGGCACACTTGTTTCAGCCCAGTTTGATGTACTTACTTGGCCTCCCCCAAGATCAGTTGATTATTCATTTTGAGCCAGAAAGAAGCACAGAGAATAGGAGCTGTCAACCTGTGATGCTCCTGGAGGTAGCTCCTGGTCTATCCTCCCAGTCCACTTTCTAAATCTCCTCCTGGTTCCAGGGAGTGAGTCTGATGGTTTGTGCTGCTAAACTGCGGATTGAATCAGTAACAGGGCTTTGTTCTTTGATTTTTGCCTGAAAAGATCAGTTCAGGGCAAGGTTTTTCAGTCTTGGCATTATTGACCTTTTGGACTAGATAATTTCTCGTTGAGGTGAGAGGGGAAGCTTCCCTACGCACTGGAGGATGTTAGCAGCATCCCCCTGGCCTCTACCCACTAGATGCCGGTATAACCACCTGCTCTGCTTCCTCACCCCCTGTTATGACAACCAAACAATCTCCAAACATTATCAAATGTCCCCTGGGGAGATACAATTGCCTTTTCCTTTCCCTGGTTTAGAACTAGTGATTTCAACTAGTCGTGGATGACAACTCGGACCCACGGCCACCCTCCCAATGCTGTGGTAAATGCAGTCAGTGGCTTTTTGAACCTTTATTTCTGGTGTTCTCTTTATGTCTGATTATAATGTTCTTGAGACTTGTCTTTCACAGGCTTTGTACTGAGTTCAGCTAGTCCTGTGTGGGATTTTTTGGCTAAAATTCCTCAGGACGGATTACCACTTAGCTTTTCTTTAGATGGCCTGAAAGCCTCTTTCCAAGCTCATATTTCTCAGTTGCTAGGATATTAGGCTCCTGACTGTATTACCAGCAGGGAAAGAAATTCTCTTCCCGTGACTAACATGGCACCTGGTTACAAGCTCATTTATTACCTGTTGCCCTTGCTCAGATGTGCTGTTGAGGCGGCTGTCAGCTTTTTCTGCTCCCTTTCCCCTAGTTCTCCATGCCTTCCTGTTTTGTCTTTTCCTCCCAGTGTTTCCATAGTGGCTCCTTGATGTAGCTAAAGAACAAACTGCTGACAGGCACATCCCTTGAATATCTCTGCATCTGGACGGGGCCACTGGCACCATCCATTGGTGGCTGAGTAATGCGTGGCCTTGCCATATTTGTCTGTCTCCTGTTTATGGCCCAAGAATTTGAATCTGTTCCAGCATCTAAATGTTGTCGTTGTTAGGACAGAGTGCTGCCATAGTACCACAAGGCCAATATTAAACATGTTTATTTGGGTTCCATATATTAACATTTTCATTTGTTACTACTGCTGTTGTTTTTTCATACCCGACAGCTGCAAAATTGAGACAGGGGACATATATTCCATTACAAAAGCCAAATAATCTTGTATATATAAACTGTTTTTTAAAGATATTTGTGTCTTTAACAGTCTTTAACCCTTGACTAAATATATTCTCCCTAATATTTTGTTGAGTTGAAGAATCCCTTGAGTTGGCCAGTTGACAGTAATTTAATAAAGTGCCTAAGGAGTGCCAGTATTGGATAAGCAGGGAAAATAGCTAGACTTGACAAAGCCAAAGCATGTTCTCCTGGTTGTCTGATCAGGTAGCAATTGTTTGAAATGTATTTGTGGCATGGAGCCTTGTATAACAGAAAAAGTTGAATGTGAGGTGTGGCCAAAACTCCGTTTTAAAATATACAGTAGATTTTTAAGAAAATTCAAAATGTGAAATAGAATCAGAATTGTTCATTTGTCAGCTAACATTAAGTTACCTCAAATGTTTTGTAAGGTCTTAGGGGGATGAAATTTGATGTTCACTCCAAGGCAAATGTTGGATTTGAAAAATACCAGGCTCAGGAGCTTCTTCCTCTCACGCTATTTTGCAGAATCAAAGGCTATGGTGGGGAAACAGTGCTTTCTGTAACACAAAAGCACAAATTCTCAGCACTGCAATGTCCTCAGAGTACATGGACCCATATCAGACTGAACTGTTAGCAAGACAAAGGAAGAATAATCCAATTGTGTTGAAACATTTCAGTCACTGAGGCAGACACAATTGTTGGTAATGATGCGTTGTTTTTCTTTTTCAAATACTCCTTAACCTCATAAAATATGGAACTCATATCTTCAACCTGCACTTCATAAATCAGGATGTGCACCCACCTTCCCACCCTCCTAGCCATTTCAATATGCACACTTAATGAGTATTAAGTTTAAAAAAAAAAAAAACTTAAAAGAATCAATTTCATGGTGAATGCATCTAGTTAAGCAAGCCATTTAAACAACATTTTACTCGTGTTTAGTAGACCATTTTATAAGATACTGATAGCTTTACAAGCCTGTGTTTCAGACAAGCTAATTGGTTGTCTCTGATATGTGTTTGGGGCTTTCACTCATTAACTCCCTTTCCTATCGAGTACATACTTTGCTAGCTTGCAGGATTATAGGTAGGACTCTTCAAACAACCTTATTCTATTGTCAGGAAAAAGGTTTCATTGAATAGGTTTCTTCCTGCTTACAATATTTGCTTCCTTGAAATGAAGACAAATCATAACCGAGTATTACCCCAAACACAGCAGATACAAAATCAAGTAGAATACCCTAAAAGTGCTTGATACCAAAAATAAATACTTTTTGAAAGAGTGGATTGGAAATGATTAACAGAAAGGAAGGAGAGGAGAAAAGGGAAGAAGAGAAGAACATGATGTGCTGTTGAACCTGGCTGCCTCTGTAATTAATGACTGTGTTATGTAGGGTATTGAGAAGTCTGTTGCTTGCACCTTGGCATGCAAAGACAAGTGTACTGATGCTTCTCTTTTTGCATATGTCAGAGCTTTCCATTCTCTGAAATAAGAATTAGATGCTTTGTTTGGACACAGATTAAAGGAATAGCTCAAAACATAAGTATCCTATGTGGGTCTTGAGATTTCTGGAGTGGTTCTTTTTTCCAGGATAGGTTGTTTACTTTTCTGTTTGCAACACGATTCATTGCAGCTGCCGGTAGGCATATGTGTAATCATTTGAACCAATTAGATCTATGGTTTTGAAACTCTTCATGTAAAATCCCACCTTCTGCATGAAACCTTGGCTTAATTGAAAGACTGGTAACTTCTCTCCAATATTCAGTTTTGTTCTTTTACTAACATTTTAACATGGAATGAAATATGGCACGTTTTGTTGTCTTTTTCACCATAGTTCAGTAGTTCTTCAAATCTATTTTTTTTTTTTTATTTCATTTTTTACTTGGAGACAGAGTTTCCCTCTTGTCGCCCAGGCTGGAGTGCAATGGCGCGATCTTGGCTCACTACAACCTCCGCCTCTCGGGTTCAAGCGATTCTCCTGCCTCAGCCTCCCGAGTAGCTGGGATTGCAGGCATGTGCCACTATGCCTAGTTAATTTTGTATTTTTAGTAGAGATGGGGTTTCTCCATGTTGGTCAGGCTGGTCTCAAACTCCTGACCTCAGGTGATCCTCCTATCTCGGTCTCCCAAAGTGCTGGGATGACAGGTGTGAGCCACCACGTCAGGACTAAATCTATTTTTTTTAAAGAACAAATGAGTATTCTCTTTGTGTCTCACATTATATTGAGAACACTGGAGAATACAAATTTTTTTTTCCATTTTCTATGCCCTCAATGAACTGAATACTCATACACATGAGAAAATAGAGAATAATGATCCAAATCTGGGTTATGCTGTAACTAAAAATGGGAGTTCACGAGAGATTTGTGGAGATGCTTCATCTGCATTGAGTCTTGATAGCCTAACCCATTAATTTATACAATAATTATTTATAATGCCTGTTATAAGGAGAGTATAATGGTTCTTATAACTAAAAAGCTCAGAGATTGCAGGCCTTTGGCATAGTTTGACTCAGGGGTTTGCCATTCAGTCACACCTATTTTTCTGCAGTTTTCTTGGCTATTTCTTCATGTATCAGCTGTCTTTCAGCATTCATATCCTGCAGAAACTACCTAGAAACTAAACCTCAGCTTTGATGACCTTATGAACCTCTGAATCCAATGGGCCCACACTAGCAGGGGATATTTCAATTTTATAAACAAATAAATCCTCATCATCTTTTCAGGCCAGTTTAAGTTGGACATTTTGTTTCTGTCAACCACAGGCCTCTTCAGTTACAGATAATTTGGTACTAGAGGTGGTTGCTGTTTGTTAATTCTACCAGACGTTAACATTCAGTTACTCATAATTTGGTATTAGAAGTGGTTGCTACAAGTGGACTCCAAAATGCAGAATTAGATAAATAGATGTAGGGAAGAAGAAAGTAAGGAGAACTCTTCTGTCCCTGATTTGTAAGGTTAGGAGTCCTATTTGCTGACTGAAAAACAGATCAATTTATATTTTTTCTTGTTGTAACTTGGTATATATCATAACTCTTATAAATTCAGAGACAATCAAAATGTGAGAGATACATAATCCACTGGATTTTATTTTTACACCTATTAGAGGTATAGCCCTTCCAGATAAGAAAACTAGGAAAAGAATATAGAATTTCATTTACTTTAATCAATCAAAAAAGTTAGAAATTGAAACATAATAATATATATGGGGTGAGATCCAACAGAACGCTATTAAAATTACATGTTCAACCTTAGGAAAGTAGGGGGAAAAAAGAGCGAACTAAACCAAAACAAACAGAAGAAAGAATATAATAAAGATTACACTGGAAATAAATGAAATCGAGATTAGGAAAACAGTAGAGAAAATCAATAATACCAAAAGTTAGTTTTTTTGAAAGACCAATAAAATTGACAAATCTTTTTTTTTTTTTTTTGGTGCGGGGTGTGGAGACAGTCTCACTTTGTTACCCAGGCTGGAGTGCAGTAGCACGATCTTGACTTAACTGCAACCTCCACCCCCCAGGTTCAAGTGATTCTCCTGCCCCAGCCTCCAGAGTAGCTCAGGTTACAGGCACACACCACCACACCTGGCTAATTTTTTTATTTAGTAGAGATGGGGTTTCATCATGTTGGCGAGGCTGGTCTTCAACTCTGGACTTCAGGTGATCCACCTGCCTCAGCCTCCCACAGTGCTGGGATTACAGGTGTGAGCCACCATGCCTGGTCAAGTTGACAAATATTTAATCAACTAACAAAGCAAAAATGAAGGAAACTTAAATTACTAAAATTAGGAATGAAAGAAGAGACACAACTACCATGCTTGCAGAATTAAAAAGGGACTGGGTGCAGTGGCTCATGCCTGTAATCCTAGCACTTTGGGAGGCCAAGAGAAGAGGATTGCTTGAGGCCAGGAGTTTGAGATCAGCCTGGGCAACATGGTGAAACCCATGTCTACAAAAAAATATATATACAAAAATTAGCCAGGCATGGTGATACATGCCTGTGGTCCTTGCTACTCCGGAGGCTGAAGTGGAAGGATCACCTGAGCCTGGAAGATTGAGGCTGCAGTAAGCCATGATAGTACCACTGTATTCCAGCCTGGGCAACAGAGTGAGGTCTGGGGAAAAAAAATGAAAAAAGAAAACAAAACCCAAACCACAAAAGAAAGAAAAGAAACATAAAGGACTATGAAGGAATACTATTAAAAAATTGTTTGCCAAATAATTAGATAACCTACATTAAATGTACAAAGTCCTATAAGGGTGCAAACTACTGAAATTGACTCAAGAAGTAATAGAAATCAAAATTAAACCTGTAACAAGTAAAGACATTGATCTACACTTCCCATCAGAAAAGCCCAGGACCCTTGCTTCACTGCTGAATTCTACCAAACATTTAAATAATTTACACCAATCCCCAAACCATTCCAAAAAATAGAAGAGGAGGGAATGCTTCCCAACTCATGCCACAAAACCAAGATTACTATGATGCCAAAACCAAACACATTACAAAAACAGTTAAAGACCAATATTCCTTGTAAATATAGATGCAAAAATCTCTCAACCAATATAGTTGACCCTTGAACAACATGGGTTTGAACTGTGTGGGCCCACTTACATGCAGATTTTCTTCTCCCTCTGCCACCTGTGAGATACATAGCAAAGCCAACCTCTCTTCCTCTTCCTCTTCCTCCTCCTCCTCCTCTGCCTTCACTTAACATGAAGACAGTGAAGAACCTTATAATGCTCCCCTTCCACTTAATAAATAGTAAATGTATATTATTTTCCTTATTATTTTATTAATAACATTTTATTTTCTCTAGCTTATCTTATTGTAATAACAAATATACATATTACATATGAAATATATGTTAATTGGCCATTTATGTTATTGGTAAGGCTTCCAGTCAACAGTAGGCTATTAGTAGTTAAGTTTTGGATGACTTAAAAGTTACACATGGATTTTCAACTATGTAGCGGTCAGCACTCCAATCCCCATGTTGTTCAGGGATCAACTGTACTAACAAATGAATCCAGCAACATATAAAATAAGAGGATTATACACATGATAATCAAGCATAGGTTATCTCAAGATACAAAGTTGTTTCAGCATACAAAAGATCAGGATAACACATATTAAAAAACTATAAGATAAAAATCATCGTCATGTTAATAGATTATATCAAATGAAGAAAAAGCATTTGACAACATAGATTTAACATATAACCCAAGAATTCCATCCCTAGATATATACCCAAAAGAAATGAAAACATGTGTTCATACGAAACTGCTCATAGAAAGCAGCATTATTTATACCAGCCAAAAAGTCGAACCAGCCTAAATGTTCATCAACCAATGAATGGATAAACAAAATGAGGTACATCTACACAGTGGAATATTATTCAGCCATAAAAAGGAATAAAGTACTGATACTTACTGCAATATGGATGAACATTGAAAACATTGTGCTAAGTGAAAGAAACTGGACACAAAAGACCACATATTACATGATTTTATCTATATGAAATATTCAGAATAGGCAAATCCAAAAAGAAGCAGAGTAGTGGTTGCTAAAATCTGAAGGAAACAGTAATGGGGGATGACTACTAATGGTTCAGATGTTTCTCTTTAGATGTCAAAAATGTCTGGAAATATATAGCAATGATGGTTGCACAACCCTATGAATATACTAAAAGCCACTGAATTGTGTGTTTTAAAAGGATGAATTTTATAGTATGCAAATTATCAGTAAAAGAAAATGGAATATCTGTAGAGCAAGATGGAAAGATAGTAAAGCATATGCTAAAGAAACATGAAGTCCAACCAAGCAGTGGAAGAAATTATCTAGAATCTTAGGCAGGAGTATCCACTTCTGTGAGTAGACAGTGAAGTAGGTAATGATAACTTGTATCCAAGAGCAGACAACCCCCTTTGAAGACCAAAGTCTTCAAACAGTTGTTGTAACAATTATTTTTTGAAAGCACTTTAACTTGTTAGTGAATATCTCTTAAAAATTTTGGTTGAAAACCAACCCAAGTTCAATTAGATAGGAACTTCAAGCTACATGAAATTATAACCCCTTTTATTTGAGATGGTAAATTGTTTCCTTAATGAATTCTTTATTCTTTTTACCCTGGAGGGTTTTTCATTAAGAGTACAGAAATGATTAAATAGGCTGGGCATGGTGGCTCACGCCTGTAATCCCAGCACTTTGAGAGGCCAAGGTGGGCAAATCACCTGAGGTCAGGAGTTAGAGACCAGCCTAGCCAACATGGCAAAACTCTGTCTCTACTAAAAATTCTGAAATTAGTGGGGGCGTGGCAGTGCACACCTGTAAACCCAGCTACTCAGTTGGCTGAGGCACAAGAATCACTTGAACACGGGAGTTGGAGGTTGCAGTAAGCCAACATCACACCATTACACTTCAGCCTGAGTAACAGAGCAAGACTGTCTCTGCTGGGCGCTGTGGCTCACCCCTGTAATCCCAGCACTTTGGGAGGCCAAGGGGGGTAGATCACCTGAAGTTGGGAACTTGAGACCAGCCTGACCAACATGGAGAAACCCCGTCTCTCCTAAAAATACAAAATTAGCCAGGTGTGGTGGCACATGCCTGTAATCCCAGCTACTTGGGAGACTGAAGCAGAGGAATCGCTTGAACCCAGGAGGCAGAGGTTGAGGTGAGCCGAGATTGTGCCATTGCACTCCAGACTGGGCAACAAGAGTGAAACTCCATCTCAAAAAACAAACAAACAAAAAAAACAACAACAAAAAACTCTGTCTCAAAAATAAAAAATATATATTACACATAGATCAAACTGGTAGATTCTCTTTGTGATTCTAATTTAAAATGTACCAGAAGTTGAGTCATTGAATTTATAAAATTATTGGAAAACAATTTTTAAGATTCCCAACCACTTGAGAATGTTTTAATTGTTAAAACAGTTGAAATGCTTAAAAAGAAAATCGAATATATTAAACTTATAAATGGAATTATAAAGTGAGTTTAAAAATGAACTAAGTTTATAGATGGACCTAAAGAGCA